AGGAGTTAGTGATAGGACTATACCAACAATACAGAAAAAAAAAATGGATGTATTTAACTTAAAAGATCCCCTGCTGTAGCAGGGATCCTTACAATTATGTGTCATGCAGTGATCATGAAGATGTCAGATTTTTATTGTTTATTTTGTGAAAAAATAAGTCATTATAGAAAACAGCTTGCATTGCTCCTTTCTCCTCTCTAGGCTTCTTTGCTTGCTTATGTGTTTGAAAATGAAATACAGTAGCATTAATGATTCTAGAGTCATTTCCTCAAGTTGCACAACTTGTTCAAGACCAGTACTTGGCTATACTGATGATACTTCAGTTTATCTTTGTTTTATTTACTTTTCTTTGGTTCAGCCTAAATCACTTTGTGTCTTTATTGATTGCTTACCAATTATGTGAGGTCCTGGGATTGCCACATTTTCATGGTGTAGATGGATCCTATAAGATAACTATTTTGCTAATAAAAAGTAATAACTTTTCCTGTTGTTTATAGGTTGTCTGTGGTTAAATAAATAACAAAAGAGCCAAAGCTTTGATGGTTTTTATTAAATTTTTTGAAGGACACTTGCTTTGGCTGGTTTCTCCTTTTTTCTTTTCTTTGGCTCTTTTGACATTTGCCTACTGTACGTGGACTCTCAAAACTAGAGACTAGACATATCGTTTTCTAAGTTTCCTATTTCTGAACACTAGGGGCTACCTGAATTAATTTATTCAGGAAAAGTCATGCGCTGGATCAGTGCTCACTATATTCATATTAAACTCATAGCCAGCGCTGTTGCAAATAATACAATGTTTTATGAATCCTTTTTCTCTGTGGCAATGTCCAGAAATATATGAGGACTTTTAAAATTGCATCTCTAAACTGAATTTTTTCCCATTTTACTTTTGTTATCAAGCATTTTATAGTAGTAGATAGACTGAATGCAACCTGTGTGTGGGTGTGATTGTGTAGGGGATGGCTGCCTATTTTCATGTTATCACACCATCAGTGAACTGGACCTGCCCTTCTCTCATGTTGACCCGATACAGCACTTTAGAGTTCCCTTGCTTCATAAAGAACAGCATTTTGCTTTTCCTCTTCCCATTTTTGCAAACTGAGAACATCATTGTGCTTTTTGGCCCACTGCTCTTGCCATCCATCCCTTTATGTCTCATCTCTCCTGTCTCCCTGGCCACAATTGCTGGGAGGGCATTTAAAAGCAGCCCTTTTCCTCACCTGCTTTGCCAGCACCAAGCTCAGGAGGGGCCATACCCTTAACAGCTATATTGTTGGTATGTAAAAAGGGCCATTCTGTAACAGTCAAATTCTAATTTTGAATCACCTAGTCCCACTTCCTCAATGTCATTGAGCCTGTAACTTATTCAACTGTGTATATTCAGTTATACACACACACACACACACACACACACACACACACACACAAAATATGTTTAGATCTCCTGCACTTACCTATAAACATCGTTGGCAGCAGTTTTCTCCAGCTCCTCTCTCACTCCAATGCTTAGCTTGTAATTTGCTCAACAAATATTTAAAATCATCTTTAAACTTGACCGCTCCATATTTGAACCCTGTTTTTCCCCCATATCTCTTACCTCTTTTCCCATACTCTTTTTAGGCCCTGAGTACATTGTGATCATATGCTTGATTTTCCTTCCTTCTTCCTGGTCTTTTATTACTTGCAGCATGACTTTCTTGAGTGATGCCCCATTTCCTTTAATCCAAGAGGTGTTGACTCTTATTTTCCTCTTATTTTCACTCTTAGGTGAGGAGTTGAATGAAGTGATCTTCTCATTTCCCAGTGCCATTTTTGGTTATTTTCTGACCAACCCTCCCTCTAGACCAAAGGTGTCTATTTTACTTATTGTCACCTTCTCTATAACATTGCATTGAGGTTATTTATTTTCTTGAAGACTCATTTCCATTTAACAATAGTTATAACCAGTGTCAGACTCCTAATCTTACTACCCATTTTATGCACTATTCATCCTTGGTGTTAACATGCACATTTATGATCCTTTGATTTCTCGTTATTTCTTTTTGTAATCAGTCACCCATAATACCATTCCTGGACTTCACCAATAAGTCAAGGCTCCAGCTGTAACATCTCCACTTGTTGTCACTCTTCCTTTATAACTCTTGCCTGTTCATCTTGCCCATTTCTACCAAATGCATATACCTGTTCCCTGACATTTTAACCATATTTCAATCACTTCCTATTATTTTTGACTATATTTTCCCTTTCTCTTTCTCTCCCCATAGCATGTGGCCCATTATATGCATATCTTATACTACCTTGTTGCCTTCTCAATGACTTTGTATACATTAGCAGGGTTCACTCTACCCGTTAGTAATCTGAATTACTTTACGGTCCCTTTTTGCCATTCCTGTTCTTAGACCACATGTGACTACTAGACATACAGTCCACTGCCTACCTGGCTAAATAGAGATCTAACTTTTATCTGACCTTACCATTGTTCAGAAATCTTCTCCCCTCAACCCCCATCCTTTTGTGATGAAGTTCTCAGTGAACATGTACGAGTTCATTGAGTGACCACTGACTATCAGAACAGAAGTTACCACATATACAATGTTTTGTAAAAAATATTGATTTGTTGTAAAAATATTATTTCTAGATATATCCTCAAAAGTAAACTAAAGTTCAGGTTTTCTTAAAGTGAGCAGGACTATGCTGTGTTACAATTTGAAGGATGACAAATGATAGCTACTAGGGCACTTTAGCCCATGGGTACAGAAAGCTTGGATGACATACTCATGTCTGCCCCAGTCTCTGAAGAGGATGGGTGCAATGATTGGCCTGGGATACATGCTGTTTCCCGGAGGTGTGGTTACGGATCAGTTTCATCCAAACTGCAGTGGGTCAGGAGTATAGGAGAGGAGAGCAAGAAATGGGACATTCCCTCTACTGCATTTTGACAAGTTCTGCAACATAAACAAACTATAGAAATCTTCCTTATGAAGAATATAGTTTTAATGTTAAATTTTATTTATCCAAATTTTCTCTTTTTCCCCACCACAAATTAATTTTTTTTTAAATTTCAAAATATTAAGGGGGTATAAATGTTTTAGGTTGCATGGATCACTTTTGTAATGCTGAGGTTCCAGTTATAGGTGTGCCCATCACCCAAATAGTGTTCATTGTACCCATGAGGTAGGTTTTTCTCCCTCCCATCCTCCCTTCTCCCCCACGTTGATTTCTACTGAGTTTTATTTCCGTCTGTGCACATGTGTGCTCATCAGTTACTTCCAATTTAATAGTATACGTGGTATTTGTTTCTCTATTCTTGAGATGCTTCACTTAGGATAATGGTATCTAGTTCTATCCAAATTGTTGCAAAAGATATTAATTCATCTTTTTTATGGCATAGACTAATGCAACCTGTGTGGGTGGTATTGGTAGGGATTGCTGCCTATTTTCATGTTATCACACCACTCATGAACATGACCGCCTTCTCTCATGTTGACCCGAACAGCACATTTGTAGAGTTCCCTTTGCTTCATAAAGAACACATTTTGCTTTTCCATCTTCCCATTTTTGCAAACGTGAGAAACATCATTGTGCTTTTTGGCCCTGCTCTTGCCATCCACCCTTTATGTCTCATCTCTCCTGTCTCCTCCCTGGCACATTCTGGAGGGCATAAAACAGCCCTTCCTCACTGATTTCCCAGCACCAACTCAGAGGCCATACTTAACACTATATGTTGTATGTAAAAAGGGCCATTCTGTACAGCAAATTCTAGATTTGAATCACGTAGTCCACTTCTAAATGCATGAGCCGTAACTTAAACTGTGATATTCAGTTATAACACACAACACACACCACACACAATTATTTTAGATCTCCTGCACTACTATAAACATCGTGGCAACGAATTTCCCACTCCTCCAATTCAGCTAGCTTTAATGCCACAAATATGTTAAAATCATCTTTAAACTTGAACCTCCATATTGCACCGTTTTTCCCCATACCTACCTCTTCCCTATCTTTAGTCCCTGAGTAAAATTGTACATATGCCTGATTTTCCTCTCTTCTCCTGGTCTTTTATTACTGCACAATTTCTTGAGTAGCCACATTTCCTTTAACCAAGAGGTAACTCTATTTCTCTTATTTCACTCTTAGAGATTAATTAAGTACTCTCATCCCAGTCATTTTTGGTATTCTGACCAACCCTCCTCTAGCCAAAGGTCATTTTACTATGTCACCTCTCCATAACATTGCATGATTTATTACTTTCTTGAAGACCTTCATTAACAATAGTTAAACCAGTGTCAAACCCAACTACAACCATTTTTATCACTATCATCCTGTTAACATGCACGTTTATCATCCTGATTTCTCTGTATGTCTTTTGTAACAGCACCATAATACCATTCCTGATCTGTCACTCAATAAGTCAAGGCTCAGCTGTAACACCACTGTTTCCACTCTTCCTTTATAAGCTTGCCTGTTCATCTTGCCCATTTCCACACACAGGGAGCACATTTAGATTTATTGAGTCATCTCTTATTTTTTAATATGCTCAAACAGACAGACCTCTTTTTTTTTTTTGCAAACAAATTGCCACAGTTATGTGAAATAGTATTATAATAAAGTGACTCCCAATTTTATGTTATTGGATTGCTACATAGATTGTGTGAAAAATGCACACTTCTTCTCATCTATTATGTTTCTTAACTGCCTTACTGCCAGGAACTTTGAATCTTATCTCATATTCTCTTGTTTTCTTACTCTCTAATTAGGAAGCCACTTGCTTATTATTGCCCTTATGATATGTGACTTCTTCCCTCCTGATTGGTAGTTTTCTCGATGTCAACTTTGCTATTCATTTAAGAAAAATATTTAATGTTCTAGATATGTTGAACTTTTCTAATGAACTTAAATTTGTGGCCTGACACGTACGTATATTGTTTTTAATTTAAAACAGAATATTTAGGAAGATCTTGACATTTAAACTATTGTCTTATTTGTATTTGCAGTTCCCTGAATGTGGTTTCTATGGAATGTATGATAAGATTCTGCTTTTTCGCCATGATCCTACCTCCGAAAACATCCTTCAGCTAGTGAAAACGGCCAGTGATATCCAGGAAGGTGATCTTATTGAAGTGGTATTGTCAGGTAGGATACTTTTTTTTCCTATCCATAGATTAATAAATTGTATTTGGAGAATTTGGGGCATATGTTTTTAAGGCAACGTAAAAAGTATATGTCAAACTTAGGCCCAGTAGGAGATTTTGGAACTCTGTATACATGAGGAAGGGAAACAAAATGTTTCCCTTGAATTGGCTATTTCCATACCCACTATTGTCCCAATGACATCTCCCGACTTCACCCTCCCTCTGAACCCCCTCCCAGCCCCACAAAACACACACACACACACACACACACCTTCAAAGATTCAGCACCTTAAATCATCCAGACAGCAGCAAGAGCAAACAAAAATCTCAACAGTGAAGCTCAATAGCTGTCAGGGCTCCAAATGTGTTGAATGTATAGAAGCTGAGAAATAATAATAGGACTAAGAAGCCATTGACTTATTGCAGTCAAAAGTCCAGTAGCTATGAGGTAAGCTGAGATCAACAAGGAAGCTGGGGCTCAAGAGTTAGAGCAGGTCAGGTCATGCCACGTGATACTAGTTAACTCAATGGATGCATTTCCATCTGCTTACATTTAGGTTTCTTGTTTAGAATTTAGGAGTTAGTGATAGGACTATACCTAACAATACAGAAAAAAAAAAAATGGATGTATTTAACTTAAAAAGATCCCTGCTGTAGCAGGGATCCTTACAATTATGGTCAATGCAGTGATCATGAAGATGTCCAGATTTTTATTGTTTATTTTTGTGAAAAATAAAGTCATTATAGAAAAACTCAGCTTGCATTGCTCCTTTCTCCTCTCTAGGCTTCTTTGCTTGCTATGTGTTTGAAAAATGAAATACAGTAGCATTAATGATTCTAGAGTCATTTCCTCAAGTTGCACAACTTGTTCAAAGACCAGTACTTGGCTATACTGATGATACTTCAGTTTATCTTTGTTTTATTTACTTTTCTTTGGTTCAGCCTAAATCACTTTGTGTCTTTATTGATTGCTTACCAATTATGTGAGGTCCTGGGATTGCCACATTTTCATGGTGTAGATGGATCCTATAAGATAACTATTTTGCTAGATAAAAGTAATAACTTTTCCTGTTGTTTATAGGGTTGTCTGTTGTTAAATAAATAAACCAAAAGAGCCAAAGCTTTGATGGTTTTTTAATTAAATTTTTTGAAGGAATCACTTGCTTTGGCTGGTTTCTCCTTTTTTCTTTTCTTTGGCTCTTTTGACATTTGCCTACTGTACGTGGACTCTCAAAACTAGAGACTAGACATATCGTTTTCTAAGTTTCCTATTTCTGAACACTAGGGGCTACCTGAATTAATTTATTCAGGAAAGTCATGCGCTGGATCAGTGCTCACTATAATTCATATTAAACTCATAGCCAGGCTGCTGTGCAAATAATACAATGTGTTTTATGAGTCCTTTTTCTCTGTGGCAATGTCCAGAAATATATGAGGACTTTTAAAATTGCATCTCTAAACTGAATTTTTTCCCATTTTACTTTTGTTATCAAGCATTTTATAGTAGTAGATAGACTGAATGCAACCTGAGTGGGTGATTGGTAGGGCATTGCTGCATATTTTCATGTTATCAACCACCATGAACCTGGACCGCCCTTCTCTCATGTTGACCCGAACAGCACATTTGTAAGTTCCTTTGTTATAAAGAACACATTTTGCTTTTCCTCTTCCCATTTTTGCAAACGGAGAAACATCATTGTGCTTTTTGGCCCACTGCTCTTGCCATCCATCCCTTTATGTCTCATCTCTCCTGTCTCCCTGGCACACATTCTGGAGGGCATTTAAAACAGCCCTTTCCTCACTGCTTTGCCAGCACCAACTCAGAGGCCATACTTAACACTATATGTTGTATGTAAAAAGGGCCATTCTGTACAGCAAATTCTAGATTTGAATCACGTAGTCCACTTCTAAATGCATGAGCCGTAACTTAAACTGTGATATTCAGTTATAACACACAACACACACCACACACAATTATTTTAGATCTCCTGCACTACTATAAACATCGTGGCAACGAATTTCCCACTCCTCCAATTCAGCTAGCTTTAATGCCACAAATATGTTAAAATCATCTTTAAACTTGAACCTCCATATTGCACCGTTTTTCCCCATACCTACCTCTTCCCTATCTTTAGTCCCTGAGTAAAATTGTACATATGCCTGATTTTCCTCTCTTCTCCTGGTCTTTTATTACTGCACAATTTCTTGAGTAGCCACATTTCCTTTAACCAAGAGGTAACTCTATTTCTCTTATTTCACTCTTAGAGATTAATTAAGTACTCTCATCCCAGTCATTTTTGGTATTCTGACCAACCCTCCTCTAGCCAAAGGTCATTTTACTATGTCACCTCTCCATAACATTGCATGATTTATTACTTTCTTGAAGACCTTCATTAACAATAGTTAAACCAGTGTCAAACCCAACTACAACCATTTTTATCACTATCATCCTGTTAACATGCACGTTTATCATCCTGATTTCTCTGTATGTCTTTTGTAACAGCACCATAATACCATTCCTGATCTGTCACTCAATAAGTCAAGGCTCAGCTGTAACACCACTGTTTCCACTCTTCCTTTATAAGCTTGCCTGTTCATCTTGCCCATTTCCAAAATGCATATACCGTTCCTGACATTTTATACAATATTTTCAATCACTTCTTATTTTGATATTCCCCTTCTTCTCTCCCAGACGAGGGGCCATTAGTGCATATCTTAACTACCTTGTTGCCTTCCAATGATTGTATACCTTACAAGGTCACCTACCCGTAGGAACTGAATACTTTCGGTCCCTTCCCTTTGCCATTCTGTCTAGACCAAAGTGACTACTAGCAACATCCACGCCTACCGCAAAAAACTAACTTTTAATCTACCTTACCATGTGTTCAGAATTTCTCCCTCCACCCATCCTTTTGTTGATGAAGTTCTCAGTGAACATTACGATCCATTGAGGACCACTGGGACTTCAGAACATAAGTTCCACATAACAATGTTTTGTAAAAAATTGATTTGTTTAAAAAATTATCAGAATATCCTCAAAAGTAAACTAAAGTTCAGTTCTAAAGGAGCAGACTATGCTGGTACAATTGAAGGATGAAAATGAAGCACAGGGCACTTAGCCCATGGTACAGAAACGAACAACTCAGTTGCCAAGTCTCTGAGAGGTGTGCAATGAGCCTGGAATACATGCTGTTCTGGAGGTGTGTTACGGTCAAGTTCATCCAACTGCAGGTCCAGGATATAGAGAGAGAAGCAAAAATGGGACTCCCTCTACTGCAATTTTGACAAGTTCGCCAACATAAACAACATAAACTCCTATGAGAATATATTAATGTAAATTTATTATCAAATTTTCTCTTTTCCCCACCATGAATAATTTTTTTTAATTCAAAATAAGGGTAAAATGTTTAGGTCGCATGGATCACTTTGTAATGCTGATCCAAGTATAGTGCCCATCACCCAAAAGTGTCATTGACCCATGAGGTATTTTTCTCCATCCCATCCTCCTTCTTTTCCCCCATTATTTCTACTGAGTTTACTTCCATCGTGCACGTTGCTCATCATACTGTCCATTAATAGACACGTGATGTTCTCTATCTTGAATGCTCACTAGATAAGTACTAGTTCTATCCAAATGTTCAAAAAATTAATTACTTTTTTATGGCAAGATACCTGAGGATCATATACCAATTTATTAACCACTCATAATTGATGGCATTTGAGATTACATGTTCAATCAGAATGTGTGCGCAAAAACATTGATACAGGTTCTTATAAAATCCCCTTTTCTTTGGTAGAGTATCCGAATATGGGAATTCGTATCAAATGATAGACACTATTCCTGAAGAACTCCATACGTTTTTCAGAAGATGGTAGTAATTCAACCCACAAGAAATGTATAAGCATTTTTCTCTCCTGCATCTACATCAGCCATCTACTGTTGGACTTTTAATAAAGCATCCTAAGTAAAAGATTATCGTTGTGGTTTAAATTTGCATTTCCCTGAATGGGACTTTGAGCATTTTTTTCATGTTTATTGGCCATTTGTTTTCTTCTTTTGAGAAGCTTCTGTTCATGTCTTTTGCTGACTTTTTAAGTTTTATTCTTTTGAGAAGAAAACTTTTGTTTTCTTCTTTTGAGAAGCTTCTGTTCATGCCTTTTGCTGACTTTTGTTTGTTTTTTCATTATTGACTTGTTTGAGTTATTTGTAGATTAATGATATTAGCCCTTTACCAGATGTGTAGCTTATGAATATTTTCTCCCATTCCGTAGGTTGTCTGTTTGCTTTGTTGATTATTTCCTTAGCTGTGCAGAAGCTTTTAAATTTAATCAAATCCCATTTATTAATTTTTGTTGTTGCCATGATTGCCACTGGGGTTTTAGTCATAAATTCTTTGCATAAGCCGATATCTAGAAGAGAGCACCCTCCTGTCACACCTCAAGGAACTAGAAAAGGAAAAACAAACGAAATCCCAAGCCAGCAGAAGAAAAGAAATAACAAAGATCAGAGAAGAACTAAATGAATTGAAAAACAAACAAACAAAAATTACAAAGGATTAATGAAACAAAAGTAGGTTCTTTGAGAAGTTAAACAAAATTGACAAACCTCTTGGTAGATTAACCAAGAACAGAAGAGAAAAGACTCGGATAAACTTAATCAGAAATGAAAAAGGTGACATTACAACTGATAACCACAGAAATACAAAACATCATCCACGAATAATACTATCTAACTCTCTGTGTGTATAAACTAAAGAACGTAGAGGAAATGGACAAGTTCCTGGAAACAAACAATTTGCAAGACTCCACTAGGAAGAAATGGAACTCCCAAACAGACCAGTAATGAACAGTGAGATTGAAACAGTAATAAAAAACTTCCTCCCAAAATATGGCCCTGGACTAGATGGATTCACAGTTGAATTCTATCAGACCTACAAAGAAGACCTGGTACCCATAGCACAGAAATTATTCCACAATATTGAGAAGGAGGGAATCTTCCCT